TTTCATGTAGCCCTACAGGAGTGATTACTGATAAACTGTCTGAACAAAAAGAGAGTCACGTTTTAGAGAAGAAAAAAATCACCCACTGACTTTCAAAGCTGCTATATAATAACGACTTTCTACTTCGAGGACCTTGATAGAAATATAGTGGAGTGAAAAGTACAATATTTGTCTTTCAAATGTAGTGAAGATAAAGTCATAAGTTCCCAGAAAGAATAATACTCAAGTAAAGTACCAATACTCAAAAAGTGTACTTAGTTACTGTCCGCCTCTGGAGATAAACCCATAAAAGCATACTGACATCAGTCAATGATGAACAATAAACTTGGTCAAGAGAATGTATCTTTAAGTTTATTTATTTATTACATCCCATTTATGAAATAGTACAAATTGCCTAGTAATAAATAGTACTGAGTCTATATTACCAATAGTGGTAATTAGGCTACATCTTTACTACGATATGTTTTTCTGCTTGGACGAGCGATACTTACAGACTGGTAATCACTGTTTTTTCTCTTTTTTCACTAGACAATTTACTGTTTTCACCTACAATTCTTTATCCTTTTTTTCATATGCATATTAGAAAACGCCAGGAACGTTCACTATACGTCATCGCGCTCTCCTCCCTCTAAGGAAGACTCCCAGTTTTACTTTCACTTTAGCCCTCTGCGGTTAAGAAGAACAACATTATGACTCAGAATCTGGGATTCGTTTTCTGAGAGGAAAAGTGGTGATAATGAAGCTTTTCTTTAATGTACTCGCAGTGACTTTGCTTTTACTCGACCATGGTGAGGTCTTAATCGTTACAATCTCTTTTCCATCGATTTATGTGTGCTAATCCAGCATCAGGCGCTGTATGCTGGATTAGGTTTGATGGGATAACGGTTAGCCTAACACTGTCACAGAAATCGATGTTCAGTGAAACACATTTTAACAATAAAAAACCGATGCTCTCGCAGTTGAAACGAGACCAGATACGTTTAATTTGCGTTAACATTGTGCCATTTTAAATTGGTCATGTGACTGTGTATAAACAAGGAACTTAAGTAAAACTTGACATTTCATATCAGTGCAAAAACTGATCCAATGTAGCTTAGAGGTAATGTAAGTCGCTTTGGTTGAAAGCTTCTGCCAAATTCATAAAATGTAGGCCTATAGGCCTAAATGTTTCCTGCACGCGTCACGTGAGAGATTAAAGACTAAAATATATAAAATGTAGAAAACTCGTCACTGCATTGTCTTTATGTGGTGTAAAATAATTATGTTATGTATTTTTGTGGGTGCTAGTCATCTATATAATATTTATTATGAATTTATTCTAACATTTTTGATTAATTGAATGTTCAAAAATATGTATAGGGAAAGGGGGTGAAAATATGAATATGTAGGCTAGATTTTGTGTCGTGTAAGATCATTCATGAAACTTATGTATATTTGTCTGAAGAGCGAATGTGTAAATCAATGATGTTAATCTGCTGTTTGTTTGCATGCGTGGCATTATGAATCCAGCCATATTTCTCTAATCACAATCTTTATGATCTGTACACAAATACTTTTACAGCACTGTTGTATATCTATTTTGTTTGTGTTTGTTTCTTCAGGTGTGTCTGGTATCAGAGTGTCATTGTCATTGATTGAGGGAGATTTAGTCACTCTACACACTGGGGTTGAAACAAAGTACCAAGAGGATATTAAATGGTATTTCAGAGGCATTCGCATCGCTCAAATCAGTGGAGATCTCAGTGATATCTGTACAGATGTTCAGTGTAATGAAGGTACTGAGAGATTCAGAGACAGACTGAAGCTGGATCATCAGACTGGATCTCTGACCATCAGAGACATCAGAACCACAGACTCTGGGGAATATAAACTGAAAATCATC